CTACGGGCGAGGCGGAAGAGGGAAACGGACGAGGAGGAGGAGAATGGGGAGGAGTGGGGGCCCAGGGAGGAAGAGGAGGAGGATGAGGGGGATTATCGCCCAGGATGGGGGCAGGAGAGGGGGGTGCCCTAGCTGTAATTTTTGACATGAAGAGGGGGCGGGGAGTCCCGCGGCTACAACCCCCGCAGGGGCGAGCAGGCCAAGATGAGATGACCCCCAACGCGAGAAGACCCGAGAGGACTCCCCAACGCTGCCCCCGCGGTCAAGGGTACAGGTGTCGTGATGTATCGCAAGTTCGCGCAAGCACTGTCTAGGGAATGCACGTCATGCTGGGGTGGTGGTGGTGTAGGCATGGTCAAAAGCAAATGATGAGATGATGCCGACTGCGATTTCTCGGCGACCGTAGAGGCGCTGGTCCCGGATACCATCATGCAGCCGCAAAGAACAGACGCTGGAATTCCAGCCCGTCAGCATCCGGCTCTTGCGGCGGGGCTGCAATCCAACGCCCAGACGAGACGTGAGCAGCTACCATGGGATCCTCATATCCAGCGCGGCTCAAGACATCGGCTGGGCCATCTTCCTACGGTACTCGCTCGAACCATGGACGTGGCCCGAGAACAACAAGCGCCGCTGTGGCCTGTAGGGCCAGGCGGCACATGGACTCAGTTGGCGATCTCGTTTTCACGAGTGCTGCTTCGGCCGCCTGGTTGTCGATGAACCAAAGCACGTCTGCCCCTGTCAAGACGTCTGGCATGGACCACACCAGAACAAGAGTTGCAAAGAGCTCCGCTTGGTTGGTCGTACTGGACGCGCTGGCAGAATCGAGAAATGGCAACGTCCGTTCGGTGAGGTCATATACCGGGCGGGCGGGCCGGCGCCCGCGAGCGAGGACAAGCGCCCCGATGCGGACACGACCGCCCTCTGCCGAAACATCCGTGTACACTACCACGGGAGCCTGGGCTAGATGGTGCAAGGATAGAGGCCGAGGCAACGCAAAATCCTTCACAGCTAACAGGTATAGGAGACTACAAGACAGATTGTCTGTCAACTCTTGCATTGGCTCGAAATGCTCTAGCTAGAATGGCAGACAGCGCTCCGCGGCAGGGGCGCCCTGCTAAAAACGTGTCCAGCCAACTGCAAATGCTGCGAAGGTGAGCGGCCTCGCCTGACAGCAAGCGCCCTTTCCGAAATATTTAAAACATTTCGAAGCGGAACTTCTCCCGGGATCCCATTGTGGGCTCGAAAGTAATGGAGGAGTCTGTGAGGGCGGCAAAGAGGTCGTGCAGGTGGCCATGGAAGGCCAACGTGGACGTGGGAGGCACCCGCTCAAAATCGGACAGTTTGACGCCCAACATTGCGGCCAGGGCTTTACAGGAGCTGTGCGCGTCCCCCTGCGTTGCAGCAACCTCAAGACTGAAATTGTCATCGGCGTGGTGGCCCCCCATTATGTGCAGCAAGCGTCTGGCAGCGGCTGTGAGGAGCAGCGGAACACGGTAAAATTGGTTCACAGCTGACCCTAGGCCGAAGGGAAGGCCGCGCAGAACGCTGTACAAGGGCTCGTGTGTACCTGGGTGGAAAAGGGCGACGACCTCGAAGGTCATGTCTTTGCGGGTGGGGAAGAGCTGTCTGTATAATTTTCACCAGTCCGCTCGAGCCCTTCGAGCCCGCTGAAGGGAGGAGGGGAGGAGGAGAGCATGCTCATGACCACCGCCCCTCGCTTCCCCACGTGGCTTCCCTAAGTCATGTGGTGAATTCTCTGCCATCCCACTCCCAACGATACTATTCCATCAGAACCTACCCGTCCTTCCCATGACTGATGCTGCTAGGAGAAGGAGGAACGAAGAGGAGGTGGAGAACGAGGACGAGGAGGAGGAGGAAGAAGAGGAGGACGAGGAGGACGAGGATGAAAAAGGACGAGGAGGAGGACGAGGAGGAAGAGGAGGAAGAGTGAGCAGTATGAGGAACGAGGAGCGAGCAACGAGGAGGAGGAGGAGGAGGAGGAGGAGGAGGAGGAGGAGGAAGTGGACGAGGAGGAGGAGGAGGAGGAGGAGGAAACGACCGTAGAGGAGGAGGAGGCGCAGGAGGAGGAGGAGGAAGAGGAGGGAAATAAAGATGATGATGATGATGATGATGATGATGATGATGATGATGATGATGATGATGATGCTGCTGCTGCTGCTGATGATGATGATGATGATGATGATGTTGTTGATAATGATGATGCTGCTGCTGATGATGCTGATGTTGATGATGATGATGATGATGATGATGATGATGATGAGGAGGAGGAGGAGGAGGAGGAGGAGGAGGAGGAGAGGAGGAGGCGCAAGGAGCGAGGAGCGAGGAACGAGCGAGGAGCGAGGACGAGGAGCGAGGAGGATAATCGAGGGAGGAGGAGAGGAAAGGAGGAGGAGAGGGGAGGAGCAGAACGAGGTGGTAGGAGGAGGAGGAGGAGGAGGAGGAGGAGGAGGAGGAGTGGAGGAGGAGGAGGAGGAGGAGGAGAGAGGAGGAGGAGCAGCAGCAGGAGGAGGAGGAGGAGGAGGAGGAGGAGGAGGAGGAGGAGGGGGGGAGAATCGAGGATCGCTCGTGCCATGTGGGGTCGACGAAGATCTAGGGGATCGACGAGGATCGAGAGGATCGTCGTGCGGGTCCATGGGTTCGAAACTCGTCAATGACGTTACGTCGGGAGGTGCTCCAGTGCTTCGGGCGGCTCTTGTCGCCACGACCGAGCGCGGCTCGAAACGCTGGGCGGGATGTCCGCCGGGGGACAGAAGGATCTGGGAACGGTTTTCATTAGCGGATTTTGGGAGCCAGAGGCGGAGGGGAAGGAGCAGGGTGGGGAGGGAAAGGGGGCGGAGAAGGACGGGGACGGAGGGGGCGAGGAGGTGGGAGGAGGACCTGGCTAGTTATTTATGGTCCTGACAGCAAGGGTAGTTTTTCCTAACTGGAGCTCTCTAGCACCGCGCACACTCGCCTTAAAAGTCTGCGGCAATTAAATACAATCATGGAGGTCGGCGCTTCCCATCCAAATTAGCAGCAACTACAACGATGGGGGCGCTTCCCTTTTGTCCCTCGACGTTCATGGCCAAACATGTAAGCCACATGCAACACGTACACGGATGGGGGGGACTTTCTTTTTCTAAACGGGGATCCCGCTGGACACCTCATGAAACTGTATGCTCATACCCTGTCGCTTTCCGGATTACGCGTTAGAGGGATGCAACGCCAAATCATTTTCGAAGCGGGGCTCTCGCCTGAATGGCAGGACCACAGGGTATCGGTCTTTCAAGGGAACACCTCTTGTAGTGAAAAAAGAAACAGCCCGTAGGGACGTGTGAGGAGGGAGCTGGGGACGGGAGTGTGTATTGCAGCATCGCTAATGCATCTTGGGTTCACTCTGGTCTCCTACCTCCTCCTCCTCCTCCTCCTCCTCCTCCTCCTCTACCTCCTCCTGGCTCCACTCCCTCTAGTTTCTCCTCCTCCTCCTCCTTCGCCTCCCACCTCATCCACCTCCCTCTCTTTCTCCTCCTCCCTGCTGGTCCTCTCTCGTTCTACTCATCGTCATCGTCCTCCTCGTACCTCGTCCGCGCTTTCGTTCTCCTCATTATCCTTCGTGTTCTCCTGCCTCTGCTGCTGCTCCTCCTCCGTCCTCCGTTCTGTCGCATCGCGCTGAGCGAAACGCGGCGTCTTCGCGCCCTCGCGCCGCCCTCTGGAAGACTGCAGCTTGCCGGCCCAGACCGTGCAGAGCGAGGCGCCATCTCTTCGCGCGCTCGCAGGTGTGACCTTGGGCGTCCTGGGGCCTCCCCGGACCCTCCCAAGGGGCCTGCAATCCAGGCGAGAACACCGAGTTGACGAGGAACCGCGCTGATCCTTCGAGCTGTAGGGAAGGCGGAGAACAAGGACCATCACCTTCAAGGACGTGTCCAACAGAAAACCCAATCCGAAAAGGAACCGCCGTCAATCCGTGTGGCCTCTGCAAAGTATGGCATGTCTGGCCATCTCTTGGACACATCCATCGATAACCTTATGTTGAAAAGCGATCCGCCCTATGTCCTTGTAGCTGGTGGGAACTTGAGCCACATTTTGAAAACGATTCACCCTCAATTCCTATGCTTAACGCTCGTGCGAGATCCGCACTGTGTGAAGATATTCCGCCCTCCATCTGTGTAGCAGCTGGACACTTATAAGACAACCGCTCGCGGCACCAATGCGAGACAACTGTGCGCGGCGCTAATGCGAGGTCCATCTTTACAACTACTGTTGGATATGGCCTCTCCTCCGATCTGCCTCATCGACACGTCTGGTGGCACGAATGGGAAGAGCCATTTAGAAAGAAGAGGGATGGAAGACCAGGGCGTACAAACAGGATAACAAGTGGGGGATCAGCTGCATGCCGATGGCTTTCCCGCCGCCTCTCTGCACCAGAGGCGGCCATCGATACATCGAAGAAGGGTCTAGGCGGCGGGGGCGAAGCCCGCTGCGCGCACCAGATTTCCCCCCCCCACCTTTCCTGACGCCCCCCTTCTGGCTGGCTGGCTAGTCTGTACATGACCAAGTGCGCCAATTGTCCGCAAGAGAGGGCGGCCCAAACCTTCGAGGGGAACAGGAGCAGGAGCAGGAGGACCAGGAAGAGGAGGATACCGAGGAGGAGGAGGAGGAGGAGGAGGAGGAGGAGGAGAGAGGGGAGGAGGAGGAGGAGGAGGAGGAGGAGGAGGGAGGAGGCGCAGGAGGAGGAGGTGGAGGAGGAAGGAGGGGACACCGAGGAGGAGGATACCGAGGAGGAGGGAGGATACCGAGGAGGAGGAGGATACCGAGGAGGTAGGAGGAGGAGGAGGAGGAGGAGGAGGAGGAGGAGACGACCGTAGAGGAGTAGGCGGAGGAAGAGCAACAGACGGAGGAGCGAGGAGTAGGCGGCCGGGCTGGCGCTGCTGCCCCTGCGCCCGCACCGCCTGCCCGGTGCACACCGTGGGCGGCTGGGCGCCCCGCCCCGCGGCGGGGGCCTCGTCCTCGCCGCCGGGCAGCCACCGGCTCGCCTCTTCGAGGGCCTGCTCCTCGGGCGTCTGCTCCTGCCCCGCGAAGGCGGAGGCAGGGGATGATGTCGGGAGGGAGGGAGGGAGAGCGGGGAGGAGGAGGAGGCAGGATGGAGGGGGTAGGGAGGAGGAGGAGGAGGAGGAGGAGGAGGAGGAGGAGGAGGAGGAGGATGGAGGGAGAGGAGGAGGAGGAGGAGGAGGAGGAGGAGGAGTGGCAGGGAGGAGGAGTGCAGGAGGAGGAGTGGCAGGGAGGAGGAGGGGTTTAGAGGGGAGGGGTGGGAGGGATGTGGAGGGAAGGGAGCAAGAGGGTGGGAAGGAGGGATGAGGATGAAAAAGGTAAGTGACGGTGAATATTCGAAGTCGTCGTTTACGGAGCTAGCAAGTGAGGAGGCAGACGAGGAGGCGAAGGAGGAGGAGGAGAAGGAGAAGGATGGCGAGGAGGAGGATGTTCACGAGGAGGGGGAATTATGAGGAGTGGTCGGAGGGCGAGGGAGGAGGACCATGATGATGCTGCTGCTGTTGATGATGATGATGGTGATGATGTTGCTGATGATGATGCTGATGATGATGATGCTGATGCTGCTGATGATGATGATGAGGATGATGATGATGATTCTGCTACTAATGATGATGCTGATGTCGCTGATGATGATGCTGACGATGATGCTGCTGATGTTGCTGATGATGATGCTGATGATGATGATGATGATGAGGAGGAGGAGGAGGAGGAGGAGGAGGAACCCACCCGTTATTCAATTACAACCGCACGCTCCCCCTCCACGCGTGCCCCTTTCCTCCGCTCCCCTGCGCTGCCCTCCTCGGCCTCTCCCCCCCCCCGTCCGCCTCTCCTCCCAGCGCCCCTGCTCTCCCCGCTCCCGCTCCCCGCCTCCCTACTCCCCATCCACTCCTCCCGCACAAGCAACAGCAACAGCACCAGAAACGTCCAACGTCCCACAACGTGCAACAAAGGGCTCAAGGACGAGAAGCAGCCAAACCGCCCCGCCCCGCAGCTCTGCTCTCTTCGGCTCTCCCCGCCGTCCCCGCCCGCCCCGCCCGCCCCGCCTCCCCTGCCCTCCGCACCCGCCCTCGCCCTCGCCCCCCCTCCCCTCACGCACCCCCCCCCCTCCGCGGCGCTCCTCCTCCTGCCAGGTGTCGAGCGCGAAGACGGGCCACCTCTGGCCGAAGGCCCGAAGGCTCTGCTGCGAGGAGAGGGGGGCGGAGGGGCGGGGAGGAATGGATGGGAAGGGGCGGGGGGAGGACGTGGAGAGGGAATGGGGGGACGGGGGAGGGGGACAGGGCAAGCTAAGAGTGCTCGCGCCGTTTCTGGCATCCCACCCCTCCCACGAGGACAATGAGGACGACCAGTAGCAGCGGGGACTGGAGTGGAAGGAGCGGGAGGAGCAGGAGGAACAGGGACAGACGGAGGGGAAAAGAGGAAGGCAAAAACGATGGAGCGAGAGCGCCATTTTGAACGACGGTCGCAAAACACCCATCCGAAACACCATTTCGAAACGCCGACTAGACCCGGATTGCAAACGATCATGAAACAAACCACCTTGTAAACCACTTCTGTCCAATCCTGCGTGACAGACAAAAAGCGGGGAGGCTGGGACATCGTCCAGACAGAATCCAGAGAGGAGAATAGTAATCATACTGTGTGTAGTTGTGGAGGCGGGGCGGCGAGGGGGGGTGGTGTCAGTGGGGGAGGGCGGACTAAGGGTGGAAGGAGACGGCGATGAGGCGAAAGGGCGGTGCTGAACTCGATGACCCCCTGACAATGTAGGAAGGCTGGTGGACATCGGCCACGTGGAAGGTTTTGACTGCAAGGGGGTTGGGGGGTATAAAAGGGGAAGAGCATGGAAGGGGGCAGCGAGGGGATGAGGGGTATGTAGGATAGGGAAGGAAAGGCTAGCAGGAAGAGGGACGAGAGAGGAGGGGGATGAGAAAGGAGGGGCGAATGCACTAAAGAAACACTTGGAGTTGACTCCTTTCAGTGGTTCGCATACACATGTTCCACTCCTTCCCTCTCCTCCTCCTGCTCCTCCTGTTCCCATTCCTCCAGCAACTCGCATTCCTCCTCCCCCTCCTGCTTCGTCTTCTTCTTCTTCTTCTTCTTCTTATGTTCCTCCTCATCCTCTTTTTCCTGTTCTTGTTCCCCCCACGTTCCCTCCACTCCGCCTCCTCCCCCCCCTCTGCCTCCTCCTCCTCCTCCTCCTCCTCCTCCTCCCTTTCCTCCTCCCTTTCCTCCTCCTCCTCCTCCGCCTCCGCCTCCGCCTCCGCCTCCGCCTCCGCCTCCGCCTCCGCCTCCTCCTCCTCCTCCTCCTCCTCCTCCTCCTCCTCCTCCTCCTCCACCTCGCTCCCTCCATCCCTCCCTCCTGTTGGGACCCAATGCGGCTCCCACGCTCCCTCCTCCTTGCCCCCCCGAGCGGCCTGGCGCCGCCATGCTGGCTGGTCGAGTGGCCACAGCCTGCGCGGCTGCTGCCTCGGCTGCCGCCGAGCCTGCTGCTGGCACTGCTGGACCACGCCGACGCCAGCGCCCTGGCCGGATGGCGCTCGGGGAGGAGCGGGCCACGGGAGGAGGCCTCCCCCACCTCCCCGCGAGGGCAGGCGCACCGCCCTCCCGCTTTCCCCTCCCCCGTCGCCAGCCTGCAGCATCCTCCAGCATCCTCTGGCTTCCAGCCTCCAGCTTCGTCCTCCTTGGCATCCTCCAGCATCCCGTCCTCCCGCTCAGCCCTTACCAAGCCCTAGCCCCCCCCCCAAGCTTCCAGCCTCCAGCCTCGTCCTCCTCCAAACGCACGCGTGTGCGAGCGCGCGCGCGCGTGCGCGTGCGCGTGCGCGTGCGCCGAGGACCTGGCCGCAGCAGCGCGCCCACCCGTGGGCGGCGAGGCCGCTCCCGCCAGCAAGGGAGCCCCCCGCCCCCTGACTGTGAGTCACCAGATTCACTGCTACAAAGCGGTGAGGCATCCACCCCATCCACTCCTGACGCGGCCGCGGACAGCGGGGGGCGAGTCTGATTTCCCAAATCCGCCCCCGCTCAAAGGGCAAAACTTATTCCTGGCTGACGCGATGGCCATGCTTAAGCTCACGACGGACACTGGGGAACCGATGCTGGGGCGGGGCCGACAGACAAGGGTCCGCTCTGACGTGGCTTTTCCCACCTGGGAGGCGCTGAGGGCGGAGTACAACCAGGAACTCCCCGGCCCTGCCCCTGGCTCGCCCATCGCCTTAACTGCAGAAACGCTCATCAATTTCATCCGCACCCGACCTGCCGCCATGAGCGCGCGGCCTAAGCGGACGGACCACCAAAAAAGCAAAGACGCTGCCCTGCGGAGTCCATCGCCTCTTGGAAACTGGGCGAAAGCTGGCAACTCCGTGGCTGCTAAAACGGTCTTGCCGGAAGAAAGCAACACATTCCCGGAATCAAGCTCAGCGCACTAAATAATAAACGGGCGGCTTCCCGGAAGAAAAACACAAATTGCCGGAGCTCTGTTTTAGCAGCCACGGGTTTGCCAGCCTTCGTCCGGCTTCTGAGCCTCTTTGCTTAAAGACCTGAAAGCCATGCAACGCGCGGGGGAAGCGCCTGCGCTCCTCCACCGCATTCCGAATCCCTGCCTTCGGAAAAGGGGAAATGGAACTGCCCACTGACAAACGCTTGTATTCAGCCGTGTCATTGGATGCACGCGTGGGATGCGCCAGCTTACCGCGGCTTAGCGTCATGGAGAGCTCATTGGACCCGCCAAGCGAGTTTCGGCGCGGCACCACGCGTTATTCGGAGACGTCAGTATCACGCTGGCACTACAGGTGGAGCATGCCCGACACCTCCAGGTGCCCCTGGCTGGGACTGCACTCGACAAGCAAACGTGTTTCGCCTACCTCTTCATGGACATCTGTTTCGATTTGGCTTTGCACGTGGGGCACCCGCCAGACATCGTTCAAGCCAGACGATACTTCTACGGTAACCACCGTAAGTACATTCGCATGGGATGGGGGGTATTTTGAATCTGTGGCACGCACCAGTGGCCGCCTTCAAGGTAACTTTGTCTCTCTCTCGGCGACGTCACACTCATGATGTGCGCCTGGACCAAGCGACAGCACCGCTGCGTGCCACGATCCACTCCACCGCGCCCGCTGCCAGGGAACTACAAGCTTCACTTGGCGAGATTGTCCTCGTCGACCGCCTCTCGAGGCCCTAAATGCACCCTGGTAGAATTGCTGGCTGGGATGTCGGCGAAGAACTCCACCGCCAGGTGGCGGCCTAGGTGGCGGCTCTCCAACTTGACGGACACCCGCTGGATGCTCAGCACCAGGTGAAGCCTGTGGGAAGCTACATCAACGTGTAGCGGATGCTGCCAGGCTGAATCTGGCTGCCACCGCGGATGCTGCAGTCCAGCGTGCTACTGCCAGACTCCCACGTATTGGACGTCTCCCCGAATGTACCCATGCTCTTGCCCACTTGGTCAGGTCCCTCGTCACTGCCACGTGCGCCACAGGTGCCGACGTCCAAGTCCTCGGCACGAGAGCGCTTAACCTCCATGACAACTCGACGTTCGCCGCCACTCGCCCCAAGGGGCGATCCTGGATCTCACGGCGGGCCCTCTACGCTCTCGTTGACCCGGGCATGCCCCTGAGCTGGGTGCCACTGCTTCAAGGGAAGCCCTTCTTTGACCGCGGAGGCGGGTGCGGGAAGACACCAGTCTCAACGCTAAAGCCGAAGAGCTGCGCGACCACGCGCAGCCCCTCCTGAGAAGGTGGTCCCCTTGGCAGGGTCTGGCACAACATCGCTCCACTGGAGTGGAGTTGGCCATCCTTTGGCATGGTGCAAGACAAGTGGGGCACACACCTTTCGTGCTAGCAACTCGCGGTCGGCTTGTTCACCCACGCGCTCCGAGCGTCACAAAGAAAATCCTTCCTCCGACGTGTCCTTCCCGCCCGACTCGACATGGGCGCGGGCGCCGCGGTCAAACAAGGCCTTGACCACTTTGCAAACATCCGGCTACGAGCAACCATAGACAAAACTAAATGCACTGCCTTTAAGCTCGGCCCTCTCTGCAATTACCTTGCGGCGGTGAGCGCATCCAGCAGAGGAAAGTGCGCGCTGGCATCTCGTCCGACCGTTCACCGCTGTGCAAATGGTGTAACCAAGAAGAAGAAACGCAGGAACCCACGGTCTGGAATGACCGCATTGAAAATCACGATCACTGATCAGCAGTGGAGAGAACACCCGCATCACACTACGCATTGCGGGCTGCTCGAACCAGGCCCGCAACTTCTGGATCTCCAGGCCACCTTTGTACAGGACGTGCTCCCGCAGCCCATTCCGCGTCCCCCTCCCGAGAGCTCCGAGGCGGATCTGTTCGAGGAATGCTCCGGCGACGACACGGGGGCCAACTGGGCAGATGCGGCCACTGACGGAGCCTGCACGCACCAGTCTCACCCGCTCCTTGCCAGGGCTGGCTTCACGCCATGATCAAAAGAGGCTTATGCTTATTCTCAATCGGGGACCCCTTAGTCCGCGCCAGAGGGGAGGGTGTTTCTTTCCCCGCCCCCCTTCGTTTTGCGGCACCTCCCACCAGTTCGAGGCAGCCCTGAGCGGCAGCTGCGCCCCGCTGGGCCTGGACGACCTGCCGCCTGAACTGCTGCGCTCTCTCTCTCTCTCTCTCTCTCTCTTTATCTTTTTTTTTTTTTTTCTCTCTCTCTCTCTCTCGCCCTCCCCCTCCCCCCTCCCCCTCCCTCACACCTCCCTCGCCCTATCTCCTCTCCCACCCCCTCCTCTCTCCCGTCCCCATCCCCACCCCCTACTCCATATCGCCATCACACTCTTCCCCCTGCCTCTCGACGCACCCCGCCCTGCGTCTCCACTCTCCCTGCCCGCGTGCGCCCCGACCAGCGCCCGGCACGCGGGCGCCTGCTGCAGCCTGGGCCGTCCCTGGCGGAGCTGGGAGGTCCTCGCTTGGCGGCGCCGCCGCTGGCGCTCCCGCCCCGCCCCCGCGCCCCGGGCTCTCGCGCGCCGTCCCCCGCCCGCCTCCCTCCTGCAGCCTCCTGCTCTGAGGGGGACGATCTGGGGGGGTGGCCCAGGGAGGAAAACAGCGACCCAGAATCGGCGATGCATCGCCGATAGATCGGCGGTAGGCCCTCGATCTCAAATCCGCGCGCTCCCGGGCGCGGTGGGCTATCGGGCCCCTGTCGGCGATCAATGGGCGATCGGGGGCCGATGCGTTCCCCCCTGAGCTCATGCCCCCAAAATTTGCCCCCGATGCTCCTGCTCCTCTCACCCTTTGGGAAGGGTCGGGTATGAGGAGTAGTATGTCCAATATATGGCGCGCGCACGCCTAGCTTGCGTCTCTCTCCTTCTCCCTCCCCCTTCCTTCCTCCCTCCCCCCGTCCCTCCTCTTCCTCTCCCTTCTCCTCCCTCCCTCCCCACGCCCCCCCAGACCCCCGACTTCGTGATTTTTCCCACGTAACGTTGACACCTGGAGGTCTCGACCGATTCCCCAGGACCTGCTTCTCATCCCGAGCAATTCTTGGGCGGTCCTGGGGCCTGGCGAGGGCTCCCGAAGGGTGAAAATCAAACCAAAAAGCGGAGGGTCCCGGGGGTGGGTCCCGGGTCAGAATGCCATCCTCGTTTGCAGCTTTTACAGAGGGGCCCTCTGTAGATGTGCTGGAAGAGGGGGGGGGGTCGCCACGACGGATCTGCACGAGCGCCCCTAGACGGCCCAAGCCCCACAAGACAGCGCAAGAAGGCCTAAGGACGCTTGTAGATGCACTGGAGGAGGGGGGGGTTCGCCACGACGGATCCGCAAGAGCGCCCCTAGACGGCCCAAGCCCCACAAGACAGCCCAAGAACGCCTAAGGACGGCCAAAGAGGGCCCCCAGACGGGTCACAAGAGCCCCAAAAGGACTCTCAAGGAGGCCAAGAGAGGCCGTGTTCATTGATTTTCGAAAAAGGTTTACGTAGTCCCCGCCCTCTCCCTCCCATTTCCGTCGAGGGCCGAGGCCTCCAGAATTGGTTGCTCCTACTTGCTTCCTCTCGCTGCTCCCCCACTCTCCTCCTCCTCCTCTCCTCCTCCTCCTCTCCTCCTCCTCCTCCTCCTCCTCCTGCTCCTGCTCTCCTCCTCCCTCCTCCTCTTCCTCCTCCTCCTCCTCCTCCTCCTCCCTCCTCCTCCTCCTCCTCCTCCTCCTCCTCCTCCTCTCCTCCTCCTCCTCCTCCTCCTCCTCCTCCTCCTCCTCCTCCTCCTCCTCCTCCTCCTCCTCTTGCGCCCCCGAAGCCATGAAATGCTGTTTCCAAAAGACCCCAGCATGCCACAACGCCCTCCTCCTCCTCCTCCCTCCTCCTCCTCCTCCTCTCCTGCTCCTTGCTCCTGCTCCTGCTCCTGCTCCTGGCTCCTGCTCCTGCTCCTGCTCCTGCTCCTGCTCCTGCTCCTCTCCTCCTCTCCTCCTCCTCCT